ATGTTGAAGTAAAAGAGCTGAACAAACGGTTTCAAAGGGCAGCTCAGGAGGACAAAGCAAAGTATTATAATGCAATGTCCAGAGAGCTGGAATTGAAGAAGAAAAAGAGAAGAACTTGCTCTGCGTTTCTCAGTCTGAAAGAACTGGAAAACAAATTTAGGCCTTGTGTTGCAATGTTGAAAGATGCTATAGGCAATGTATTGAATGACCCAGATAACATCAAAAGAAGATGAAGATGATTTCATCCATTGAATATGGGAAATGTAGCTAGAGTTCTCAAATAAATTTTGCATTTCAATTAGATTCTTCTTTTGGGTATACATTTTAGACACATCAGTGTTGATTTTTACTATTACTGTTAACTTTTTTTAATGCCAGTAAGAGTAGAGATTTGGTGGATTTTAATGAAATTATCACATTACTCTCTCACTTTCATTGCAGTCAAGCTAAAATTAACACATAGCTAACCCTCTAACAGACTTTCTGAGGTTATTAATTGCACTGGAAGAGATTGTTCATCTTTCTTCCTTGGAGCACCTGGCAAATTTGCAGCAGATGGGTATGAAATCCTACCTAGATGGGGAAAAGGAACACACAACCATCATTCCCCCAGGCCCAAACCACCCTGAAAGGCTTCAATTATGCCTTTTGGCTTTCTGTCCTGGGAGTGACCTGCAGGTCACTGGAGCTCACAGGTCCTGCTGGCGCCTGTGAAAATTCCCCATTGTTCTTATTTAGATCTAAGCATCATGGAGCCTTCAGACTACAGAAGAATGATTTCAAGATGGCACCAGTTGGTGGCTGCAAGAATAGTCTTGGGAAGGAAGCCATTTGAACAGTATTCATTCACTGGGTGATCACTAGGGCATCATCTTGCCAATTATATTTCTCTGACTTAGTTTAACTTCACTTCATGGTCTCTTTAACCCCAGTCTTCACCTACCTTTGTTCAAGACTTGCTGCTGACGTTAATAGTTCATCTAACTTTAAGTGTTGTTGTTGTTGTT